TGTGTTGGCCAGAGGGGGAAGCAGTAATGTTAAGTCTCTGGCAGCAAACAGATGGTTCCGGACGTAAATAAAACACAATTATAGGAACGTAAGTATCACAGATCAGGGATCTTCTGGTCTGAAGCTATGTTTTCTCGCTGTACCACACTGATATTTGAGTATTCAGTTGGAAGTCAGTCCTACCTGTTATCATGGGATGTCTTGATTCAATCAGTTTCGGCAGGCCGTTGAAGTATGAGACGTCCCGGGCTGCAAGGAGCTGCAGGTGACCAGGTGATTGAGGGCTCCACAGATGTTGACTACCACCTCGCGTGCAGGGTGTTTCTGGAAGGCCGTCACTGGGCAGTTGGTCACCAGAATGTTCACCGTGTTTTTAGTGCCAGGACAAAGAGCGATGGATTAAATAAATGATATGACCCGATGCACGGTTTTCTGTTTCATGTGATCACCATATGGACTTGACAATAGCCGACCTTCCACAAGATACCCTCGTTAATTTAGGATGTACAGCCACATTCAGTAATCTTTAGCCGGTGTTCTAAAGCTTAGTTTCTTACCTCTCCACTTCCTGCCTTTCTACGACGGTTCTATCCATTAAAGACAAACCAAAAATATAAAGATTCTTTGTCTGTGTCGTACCGATATGGTCTTTGTTGGTGGAGTGTCGGCCAGGTTCCTTAGCAGGCGGTCAGAGGCCTCAGCTCCGAGGCACTGTTGTGTCTAACAGACCAGCAGGATGGGCAGCATCCTCTCCTGCTCCAACACCACCCCACTCAGCACCGCCGCCCCTGATGGGGAGGGGCAAAGGTTACCATGAGCCTTGTGTTGCCTGTGGGCTATAGAGGTGGTGGCAGGGGAACATGCACTTTTGTAGGAATACCAGGATGTTAGCAATGGCACATTCCACACCGCAGTACTTTTTCCCACAAAGGTTAATCAGAACTTAGTTCATGAGAACTAAGAAGTTTCATGAACTAAGTACAGATGGTTCACCGGATAAGTCCCTGGGGGAGGATTAGGCAAATGAAGCCGCTGACGTCACTTCTTCTTCTTCTGCTTTGGGTTTACTTGCGGCCGCAAACAACTCACGGTGCATACTGCCACCCGAAAGTACCCGGCCGGAAGTCCCCGGAGTTGGGGACTGGCTTCAGTAGAAGGCCGCTGGGACTCCCAGCGCCCTTCTGAGTTAATCGCCAGAAACCGGACACCTCCTCATCTGTTCATCTGTCCCATTGTTTATCTTTTTAGACGATGTCTCAAGTCTCTGCTTGCGTTTGTGAGGCTTCAGGCTGGGGCTCCAACCCTGGCAGGGCTACTTATGCTACTAGCTAGCATAATAACATACCGGCTAATCACAAAGAAAACTTTTCCCCTGAAAAGACGTTATAAGGAGCTGATAAATGTCATAATTTCACAGAATGCTCTGTATGTACTGTGCATATAACTGGACATCCTTCTCTCTTTCACAGCGTAAACCAGTACTGTCACTACTGTCTGAGGTGCTCCCGACAATCCTAATGGTGCTGAGTGGGCTTTGGCGCACCTACATGGTGCGTTGTACAAGCTTGTTCGCTGAACGCGACTGGAGCTCCACCAGCCGTGGAGGCGGCCGTAGGAGCCCTGGCAGGAACATTACTGCAGTGAGAGGCCGGCGTACGAGCCCTCAACGTCATACAAATATGTCAATATGCCATGTTTATTCTGAACAATGACTGATCTCATATCTTGTTGCAGTTGCTTTGGCACTTGAGTCGTTCCTCCAGGAAATAAACAACAGAGTGGTGCAGGAATGAGGCCTGAAGACACGGAAATTTAATTAGCTTTTTGCGTTTCTAGTTGCCTCGTCTTGAATGTCATGTTTTTTTGAATTAGTTTTGGCTTCAGGGTATGTTATATGTTTTGTTCTAGGACATAACATATATCTGTAAATACCCTCAATGGTAAATGACTGAAGCCTTTTACCATGTCATAAAAAACATCAGTTTACGGACTACCAAACGTCAACGCGCAATGGGACCGTGACGTAGCTTTTTGGGCGCATTATCATTTAGTGTTAATTTATGGAGATTATTTTGCAGACAAAATGTGTGATCATTCTTTTTTGGCAATATCCAAACTTTCTATGGAAAAATAACATGTATTTTGTAGAGGGAACCAGTGGCAATAGCCGCGTTCACACCGCAGTACTTTCCACTTTAGTTTCCACTTTAATTCCGATATAGTCTTCGAAATGTCGCATTCACACCAAAGATCCTGACTAAAATTAGTTAATCAGGAACCTTTTTTTACCCCCTTTTTTTAGGGGGAGAGCAGGTACTTTCGGTTGGGGAGAAAAAGGTTCCTTATGTCTGATGGCTGGGCGGAATGCCAACCAGGCCCCTGTAAAACTCCCAAAAAGTTTTGTGAAGCCGCCATTTTTTTATCCTCGCCATTAGGCATTATTAGCATTAGCATTAGCCAGCCGCACAAACGGCAAAGAGGACTAACCCAAAGAAACATTGGGAGCGGCGGTGAAGATGTGAGGGGATGGTGTCGGCCGTTCTGGGCGATTACTCAGAAGGGCTGCTGGGAAAAAAAAAAAACTCCCAGCGGCTTCTACTGGAAGCAGGTCCCCAACTCGGGGGACTTCCGGGCCGGGGTACTTCGGGTGGGCAGTTATTGCACCGTGAAGGTTGTTTGCGGCCCTGCAAGGTAATCCCAAAGGCAGAAGGAAGGGAAGAAGTGACCGTCAGCGGCTTCATCTTGCCTAATCCTCCCCAGGGGACTTATGTCGGCGTGTGAACGCGATCTGCTACTTAGTTCATGAGAACTCTTTAGTTCTCATGAACTAAGTTCTGATTAACCTTTGTGGGAAAAGTACTGCGGTGTGAATGTGCCTATTGCTAACATCCTGGTATTCCTACAAAAGTGCATGTTCCCCTGCACCACTCTATAGCCCACAGGCAACACAAGGCTCATGTAACCTTTGCCCCTCCCATCAGTGGGCGGCGGTGCTGAGTGGGGTGGTGTTGGAGCAGGAGAGGATGCTGCCCATCCTGCTGGATCTGTTAGACACCAACAGTGCCTCGGAGCTGAGGCCTCTGACCGGCCTGCTAAGGAACCTGGCCCGACACTCCACCAACAAAGACCATATCGGTACGACACAGACAAAGAATCTTTATATTTTTGGTTTGTCTTTAATGGATAGAACCGTCGTAGAGAGGCAGGAAGTGGAGAGGTAAGAACTAAGCCTTTAGAACACGGCTAAAGATTACTGAATGTGGCTGTACATCCTAAATTAACGAGGGTATCTTTGTGGATAGGTCGGCTATTGTAGTCCATATTGGTGGATCACATGAAACAGAAAACCGTGCATCGTGGTCATATCATTTATTTATCCATCGCTCTTTGTCCTGGCAGCTAAAAACACGGTGAACATTCTGGTGACCAAGCTGCCCAGTGACGGCCTTCAGAAAACACCCTGCAGCGAGGTGGTAGTCAACATCTGTGGAGCCCTCAATCACCTGGTCACCTGCAGCTCCTTGGCAGCCCGGGACGTCTCATACTTCAACGGCCTGCCGAAACTGATTGGAATCAAGACATCCCATGATAACAGGTAGGACTGACTTCTACTGAATACTCAAATATCAGTGTGGTACAGCGAGAAAACATAGCTTCAGAACCAGAATGATTCCCTGATCTGTGAATACTTACGTTCCTATAATTGGTGTTTATTTACGTCCGGACATCTGTTAGCTGCCAGAGACTTAACATACTGCTTTCCCCTCTGGCCACACAAAATAGTGACCCTTAGATAATTTGTAGATCATTTAAAAATGTTTATCTTTGGTCTCTCCCCTCTGCTTATGCTCTGGTATTTCCTCCTTGTTTCTAACTGTCTTTCACTGTGTCCTCACTTAGCTCTGGGGGTCTAAAAGCTGCCAGAGCAGCATCAACTGTCCTCTGCAACATGTTCCAGTACAGCAAACTGCACAGAGACTACAAGCTGGTAAGACTGCTGATGCTATTATATCAAATGGACCAAAAATGATAAACACAGCTGAAACATGTCATCTTTTATAAGAGAAAGGCAGATACCGAGACCACAAAAACAAGAGCTTGCAATCTTAGCTCAGGACAAATGACAAAGAAAACGATAAGGGCTGCAACTTATATGTGACCTGCTCCATCGAAATCAGTCGCATTGACCCGAAGACACAGTTTGAGTTGTATACACTGTTGGAAAGAGGAGATTCCTAAGCTTTCTAATGATATCAGGATGTCTGTGTACTCCTATATATTAAGCGAAAAATGTTCACATTATATAATGACTGTCACAGAGTCATCCATTTTGAGAAAAAGGCCTTTAAAGTTTCCTCTTGTCTGCGAGTCCATCGATTGATGATTATTAGCCCAAATTATCAAAATACTACGGAGGGCAAAATATTTCCGTTTGGATCACTGCGTCTGGGGGAAATTCTCGTGTGTGTTGTATGTATGTGTGTGTGCTGTGTTTGGTATTTTTGCGTTTTCTGTGTATTTGTGTTTGTTTCCCGGGGAAACCACTCGACGAGAAACACCGCGTGGTTTTTATGCACTGCGTGTGACGTCAAGCTTTACTCCGCTTTCGCCTTGTAATTATGCCGTTTACAATCTTCAAAGCTTGGTATTATATCTGAATTTGCCGAACAAGTTTAAATATTCTGAAAGCCAAGACTTTGTTTATTTTGAAATCAGATGAAAACAAACTGCCTAAATAGCGACCTGCCCATGTGTATCTAGAGTTACTATACGCTTACATCATAATGTCAGCCGGGGAGGAGGAGCGGGGGCGGCCGTGTGGAAGAGCCAGAGCGCCGACGAGCTGGTTCTTCTTGCCTTTACAAGCCCTTTCAAAAGAATGGTATTTATTCGTGCTGATTTTGGGAACTAAAAGTTTCATATTCTGAAAGCCATGACTTTTTTTAAATTTAAAATCAAACAAAACACTCCGAACCCCGAAAAAACGATTGCCTTGAACAGCCCTCACTGGAGCTACACACGGATTAATATTTAGAAATGATCCACGATATGCTGTTACTCACCCGTATAATGCATATGCAAGGGATGTCAGATCTCGGGTTCGGCACAAATAGTCGTGTTCTGGCTTTCTTCCAAGTCGTCCTTTCTCTAGGTGGATAATGTAGATCACACACGTTTTTAATGGGTACACTGTGGTTTGGGCTTAGTTGATTGTCTGAACACCCAGAGAATTTGTGTAGAATACACAAGCGCTAATAACTAGAAAGCTGGTACGTCTTCGTCCTGTATGGATCCTAGCTATATGACATTGTGACAACAAACATCCTATATGAGGAAGACCTCTCTTCTTCGTTGGGTGCAAGAATACTTGCGTTCACTAGATACACTCGCTAAATGTTATCCTGATAATATATTGTTCGCACTGCTCCCATCTCTATCAAGCATTATCCCACACTGTACAGTGTTAGATATCTTTTAAGATAGCGGAACTGCTCTAAGCATGATCGTTTCTACACATAGCGATATTTGGCTCCATACTACCGGCTGCTGGTCTGTCTTATCTATTCCATTGTGTCTATACCACCTTGCGTGTGGGCAGTTTGTTAGGCCTACAGACAAAAAAAGCAAACAGTCAACATAAGTGAAGCAGACTGGAAGACTGAGGGTTCAGAACTACAATTGATGAACTAATATGAATTTAGCTCCTCAATAAGTGTACTTTCCACGTAGTCTGCTTATGAGCTGGTGACGACTGTATTGGTGTGTTGTCCGTACTGGTCCAGCAGTTGCCCTGCAGGTGGTGTGTCGCTAACTGTGTGTAA